ACACATCAGAGCAGCAGTGTGGACTACAACCTGCAGCGCTTTCCCTGCTACAGATGTCAGCAGAGACTCTTGTCTATGTGATGTGGACCAGCCCAGCCAAACGTAATTGTTCCCTGCCTCTACAGCCAGGTCAGATGACCACATACCTGGGTTCCCTCCTTACCTTTAACTAGCCAGAGTCCTCCTGACCCTGTTTCAGCTTGAAGCAGCTATGGAGAATACATTGTACTGTGCTCCCTGTTCCTAGGACAGGCTGGAGGGCTAGGTTAGGAATGGAAACCCTGGCATAGAGTCCACCAAGAGGGTCCTTTTCCTTTTCTCAGAGTTGGGCTGCACCCTGACTCAAAAGCCCCCTTTCTCCTGTTCTCATTCAGCCTTGGGGTCTTTCCCCGTCACTCTTCTTTACCTTCTCAGGAGACATCTTAAGAAATAATTATTTCTATATAAGTAATTCAGGATTATAATCTGGCTCTACTCAAAGATCAGAACTACAGCTACAGGGCCTTAAAATATGGTAATAGATTCAGATATCACTGCCAACAGCTTGAAGAATGTCTCTCCTTACTCAAAGTCTATTCAGGCTTAAGAATGCAAACTTCCTTGTCCTTGCTAACTTCATTAAGCTGTAACTAATTGGGAAACCTGTATATTCAGATTTAAGTAAGATATATGCTCTCAAAGTTACAAATACATTAACAGATTTGTTCCCCCAGTCCTCAAACACCTGTAGAGATCTGAGAATATGGCATTTAATATAAAAGCTTTTTTTATGATAAAGTGACATGCCAGCTCCTGGCAGCATCCTGTATCTCCTCAATAAGACAGATGACCACAGAAGAACTTCCACCTGCCCGGAAGCTCCCATGGCAAGGCCAGCCATACAGCAAAAGGATGAGATTCTGTCCAGACTGTGAATAAGTGGAACAATGGAGGACCAATTGCCCCATACTGCAAAGTCAAGGTGGGTCAGTCTCCCCAAATTTCTACTCCACAGAAAAAAAAATCTGTCAGATCTTCTGGGCCTATCTGCTGAACAAGTACTGCCTTTGGGGCTTCTGTCCCCCCAATGACCATAGAGAGACTTGGGATTGCTGCCTAGGTAGCTGGAAAGCTTTCTCACTTCTTAAATTTATCCTTCTCAGATATATATATATAATATATATATATATATATATATATATTATATATATATATTCTCCAATTACAGACAGGTATGCCTCATTCATAGACTTCATGGTACACGATAGACTGGTTTCAGATGTAACTCCAGAGTTTCAAATTTTTAATACTGATAAATGCAGCTTTGATAAAATGATAGAACATTGACTACAAAGAGTTCTTAAGAGTCCTTAAATGGATTTTTAACCCTTTTGCCATGATGTAAATCTGTTCCAGCTGTCTTTCAGATACCTACAGGCTCCTGGGAAAAGTTTTGTTACTGCATCAAGAAATCTGATCTGATGAAAACTAACAATCTCCAGAGCCCATTTCTGACCCCACCTATTTTTGGAGCATATTTTGCAGATTCATTGTTCCCACCTGACCTCCAGAGAAATAGTAGATGCTATGGCTTCTATACTCCTGATTTAGCATGCCATTTTCCACCAAGCTCCTGGAATATCACTGCTGCAACCTGCCTCCTCAGCTCCCTCAAGGAACATTTCTGAGATTGTCTGCCATGCGTGACTCCCAGTCCTCCCTCCCCACTTTGCCCCTTGTCAGCTTGAAGTAGCCTCGAGAATTTAGCACCCTTGTTCCCCAACTTGCTCCATAACTCACCTCTTTTATAATAAAACAGAGGAATGAATGTTAATATTCTGATCCACCCCTTGAAATCCCATCCCTTGGCTCCAACTTGCGTCCTGACGTAAAAGCCTCATTCTAAGGAGAAACTCCTCCCCTTCCTCTCTCTCTTCTGTTCTTCCTCCCACGAGGTGTGCACCTTCAACTCCTCTCTCTCTTCTTCTCTCTCTTTCTCTGTCTCTCTCTTTCCTATCATGTCTTGCCTTCATCTCTCTATTATAACAAACTCTCTACATGGATGCAGTGTCTGGGTTGTAAATTACTGGCCTCCGCCACCACTGCCATGCCCACATGGCATGCATCTGCCCAGCATGTTTCCCTGCATGTGCAGGACACCCTTGGGGGTTCCCCTGCACAATAATCACAATAATTCATAACACAGACCAAGGTCCAACTGTTGTTGGAGATTTTAATACTCTAGTTTCAGTAATTGATAGAACAAGTTAAAAAAAGGTATTAAAAGCCAACTTGATCTAACAAAGGTTTACATAACACTTTTCATATTCTTTGGATTGTAGTTTTTTTTTTATGTGCACAGAGAAGATTCACCAACAAAGATCATATTTTGAGCCAAATTAATTTATGGTAATTCCAATTATACAATATGTTTTAGACAACATTGGAATTAAATTTTTCAGTTATTGACTTCATTGGTCTAAAGTCAATAACTGAAAAATACTTGGAAATTTTCCAAATATTTGGAACTAAATAACAAATTTCTAAGAATTAATGAGCCATTCTGGTTGTTTTGAAGAAAGGATACATTATATCCCAGTATAACCATTGTATAATCTATATGATTTTCGCTTTGATTACCAAGGTCAAGTCTGTGGTGATATATTTGTAATCTAAGAAAGTTTGCCTGAAGATCACAGGACAGACAGAGATAGCCACAGAGTTAGCCATAGAGGTCAGGCAGTGGTGGCACACACCTTTAATCCTAGCACTCAGGAGGCAGAGGCAGAGATCCGTCTGGATTTCTGAGTTCAAGGCACACACCTTTTAATTCCAGCACTTGGGATCACACACCTTTTATCTCAGCAGTAGGAAGACTGAGACAGGAAGTGATATGGCTGGGCAGAGAAAGGAATATTAGGCGGGAGAAGACAGGAACTCTCTTCTTTCAGGCGTGATTACAGGCTGAGGAGTTGGTGAGGTAAGAGGTGGTGGCTGTGGCTTGCTTTGCTTCTCTGATCTTTCAGCTTTCACCCTGATATCTGTCTCCAGGTTTTTATTATAAAACCATTTAGGATTCATGCAACACAAGTCTATCACAAAAATCAATCACCATTTGACTCAGTTTGCAAACACAATACAGGTCTTGCTGGAAAGTGCAGTTCAAAGGTCCAGCCTAGAGAACGGCTTATTTGCAAACTCCAGCTGTTCTCATATAGTGAAAACCTAAGCTAATTTGTAAAGCATATTCTTTTTAAAAATTTTATGTGCACTGGTGGTTTTGCCTGCATGTATGTCTGTGTGAGGGTGTTGGATCCCCTGGAACTGGAGTTACAGACAGTTGTTAGCTGCCATGTGGGTGCTGGGAATTGAACCCAAGTATATTCTTAAAAGAGTGACCTTTAATCCTCTCCAGAGCAGCTGCTGGTCCTTTGCCATGCACAGTTAAATAACTGTGCCCATGAATCTTACTATTAGCCTATGCAAAACAACTTAAAATGTATGCAATTATGAAAATGTTATATTGTATTGACAAGGCCAAGGATTCTGGATCATTTGTAGTGATGCTCTCGCCCTCTCTTGGCATAACTAAACCAAGATTTGACTGTCTTTAAATATAAAGAATTCTGATATCAGAAGAACAAATAACTGAACAGACAGGAAAACCCTGCCCAGTTCGTGGGTGCTCTCATCAAAGGGGAGCTCAGGGGAGACATGGAGATGGTTCAGTGTAGGATAATGGGAGGGGAAGGCTGGGATACAGTTTATCCCCACAGAGCCAATCCAGAAACTCTCTGGACCGCTTCCTCCTGTGTAGAATGTGAGCCTACAATGACCTCAATGGCGTCTCCCAAGCTGCGCCTGTGTAGATATAATTTGCTTAGAGTTTCAAAGAAGGCTTCCCGAGAGAGTGCTGCTGGACCTCCTCACACAGGCTGTTATTAAAACTAGACCTCACGATGCCACATGGGATGTAGGTGCTGAACTAGGTGTGAGACAGTAAGGGAATCCTGGAATGCACTAGAATCCAGATCTGAGCCTTAGTTTTAGTTTAACTCTAATAAAAATGGAATAATCATTATGCAAATTCTTAGTTTCTTTAAGATATAAGACACAGAATGACAAACTGAAATGTTTGGGAAAGAGGGCAGTTTCTCACTGTGGAGGGAGTTACAAAGGCGTCTTGGAGATGAACTTTGAAAGGCTGGTGGAGAACAGAGGGTTGAAAAGCAGTCATTTGTACAAAAGCTGTACAGCACCTGGAGGAAGTCAGCTTTACGGAGTCAGATGGACATCATTTAAATCCTCACCCGCTTCTCCCAAATGACCTTGGACAAATCAGCTCTATGAGTCCCACTTTCTTCAAATCTAAAAATGGCTGAGAATTACCTCAGAGTTCAGGATTAAAGATAACTGTTTAAAACACAAAGGGTGACACCTAGCAAGCAGCAGCTGTTCAAAAACTAAAACCTTCCACTGCCAAAGGCCCGGAGACCAGAGACAGGGGGTGACACGCAAGAAGTCATCAGCTGACAGGGAGAGCAGAGAGTGTGTCTGTAAAGGCAGGTCACTGTGAGACTGCAGGGGAGTCAGACCAGTGTGTCAACAAATAGCCTGCTGTTGGAAAGTGTGTTCATGTACCGGTGACGTAAGCTGAGAGGGAAAGGAAACCAGAGAACACCAAGAATTTCACAACACAGAGCTGAGGAGATAGCTCGGCAGGCAAGAGTACTTGTTGCACAAATCCCCAGTACCCAGGTAAAATGCCAGGCATGGCTGCATGCTGTCATTCCTGCACTGTGGGTGGGAGGAGACAGGAGGACCTAGCTCCAGGTTCAGTGAGAGACCCTGTCTCACGGGACTATGGAAGAGAGTGATAGCGCAGGTCTCCCAGCATCCTCCTCCGATTTCCATGGGTACGCATATCACATGGACCGCACACACACTCACACATACTCACACACACACTCAGACACATACAAATTTGCATAAAATATACATAAAATACATCCAATGCTTACCTTTACAGCTAAAATTTTCCCACTTGGGACATGATATGCTCTGTAGGAAGATAAAAAAGAAACAAAGTTACTTGACATCATTAGGTAACCTACAGAGTGGCTGAGGACACAGTGTCAACCCACACATTTCTGCAACAATGGGGATATACCTGGTGCTCTCAAGGCAAATGGCCCATGCTAGCAACGCGTATTTCTGTGGTGCTAAATGGTTTATGAAATGATTATATATTTTAAAATATTGCTCAAAAGTCACACTGTTATTATTACTCTCCTCTTAAAGATAGAGTTCTGAAGCATGAGGAAGTTAAGCAGTTTGCCCAATGCCCAAGTACACGGTGGCAGAACTAGACCTTCAAACTCTGTCAGGTTTTCTGGCCCCAGGTCCCCTGTTGTGGATTGTGTGTGTCTGTGGTCATTCAGTTCTGGCCCCGGTTCCCCTGTTGTGTCATTGTGTGTGTCTGTGGTCATTCAGTTCTGACCCTGGGTCCCCTGTTGTGGATTGTGTGTGTCTATGGTCATTCAGTTCTGACCCTGGGTCCCTTATTGTGTCATTGTGTGTGTCTGTGGTCATTCAGTTCTGACCCCGGGTCCCTTGTTGTGTCATTGTGTGTGTCTGTGGTCATTCAGTTCTGACCCTGGATCCCTTGTTGTGGATTGTGTGTGTCTGTGGTCATTTAGTTCTGACCCTGGATCCCCTGTTGTGTCATTGTGTGTGTGTGGTCATTCAGTTCTGACCCTGGATCCCTTGTTGTGTCATTGTGTGTGTCTGTGGTCATTCAGTTTTCTGGCCCCGATCCCTTGTTGTGTCATTGTGTGTGTCTGTGGTCATTCAGTTCTGACCCTGGATCCCTTGTTGTGTCATTGTGTGTGTCTGTGGTCATTCAGTTCTGACCCTGGATCCCTTGTTGTGTCATTGTGTGTGTCTGTGGTCATTCAGTTTTCTGGCCCCAATCCCTTGTTGTGGATTGTGTGTGTCTGTGGTCATTCAGTTTTCTGGCCCCAATCCCCTGTTGTGGATTGTGTGTGTCTGTGGTCATTCAGTTTTCTGGCTCTGGATCCCTTGTGGCATTGTGTGTGTGTCTGTGGTCATTCCCTTGTTGTGGCATTGTGTGTGTCTGTGGTCATGTATAAGCAGCAAAAGGAAGGTTTTTGCTTTTCTTTAAGGTACATAAACAGAGAAATTATATCACTATATTTTATCAAAATAATCACCAATCACAGGATGAGTTCTGACTATGGCTTTTAATATAATTTTTCATAAGAAATACAGCTATGGCTTGAGCATGTGGCTCATTTTCCCCTTAAACAGGGAAGTAGGCTCAGTGTGGAGTTTGAATGAGAATGGCCCCCAAAGGCTCATAAGTTTCATTGTTTCCAATTGGTGAAACTGTTTGGGAAGAATTAGGAAGTGTGGCTTTGTTGGAAGAGATGTGTCGCTGCGACAGGCTTTGAATATTCTCAGTGTGTCTTGCCCTTCCAAATTATAGATCAAGATGTAATCTCTCAGCTGTTTCTGCTGCCATAACTTTACTCTATCATCATAGACTCTATCCTTCAAAAATCATAAGCCATGAATGAAACACTTTCTTTTTAAAGCTGCCTTGGTCATGGTGTTTTATCACCATAATAGAAAAGTAATTAAGACACTCAGATACACTGAAATAACGTAACCTAGATTAAGAAATATTAATGGGATTGAGGCTACACCTCAGTGGTAGAGTACTTTCTTGTCCAGTATATATAATGCACAGTATTAGATGACCAGCATAAGAGAAAGAAGGAAGGAAGGAAGCAAGCAAGCATTCATTCATTCATTTATGGAAAGTAAGAAATTGAGATTTGCAGAAATAAAATCATTTTCTATCAAGACTTAATGTGTATTAATGAAATGGGGCCTTTTACATACACACTGCGTGAACTACATATTCTCACCATTATTGGGATATAAACAATTTTACATAAAAATTTTAAATGAGCTATGTAACACAAGCAGGTATTGTAACTGCAAACCCATAAAAGTACCAAACCCAAAAGAACTGAGAAGAACTGCATCTGCTCCCTGGAGGATTTCACATATTCCCATCATGCAGCTCCATGGAGGATTTCACACTTTCCTATTATGCGGTTAGTGGCTGAGATGTGAGTGGACAGTGCCAGTGTCCACTTATACTATACTAGTATATAGTACATACTATATTTTCCCCAGTGGCTGCAGAAGTTGTTAGTCTATGCCCTTTAAAATATATGTGAGGAATTTAGATGCTTTTTCCAGGTAAATATCAATAATTCAATATATAAGATTAAATAATAACATTATTTCCACTGGTATATCATAGATGCTTCCAATTTCAGCTTTTTAAAACACTGAGTTTTAGATCACTAGCCAAGGACTAAAGTATGATGACAAAAAATCTGAAGCTGTGGGGAGAGCAGTGTTGGTACTTTGAACAAGGGGCAACACATGGACTTCTGAGACCAGCTGTGGCGATAAGAACTTGATTAGCTGAGAGCCCAGCATACATACACCTCACTGGGTAGTTTGGCAACTTAATTAGCTTGTCAAGAAAGCCGATCTCTTTCCCAAAAGAAAGGTCTCCCATTTCCAAGTGAATTAAAAGAGAGACTTGATGATTTAATTATGACGCACGCTAATTCATCCATGCAAGTTTGGGTTCCATTTCGAGCAATAAAGAAGCCTTGTGGCTTGGTTTACAGTCTGGTGACAGGGCCGATTTCACATTTAATCATCGGGGAGAAATGGATGACAAAGGCAAAGTCAGGCATGAGCTAAATCAACTCCCTCAACTCTGCAATCAGCATGCTACCTGGAGAAAGAGTTTGTTTACTTTCGGCAGATAGTACGTCTCAATTGTCTTGACCTTCCTCAGCACATTAACTGTAAAGTGATTAATGAAGTCTGAATGGAGGCTCTGGTTACACCAAAAGACAACTATACACCTCCGCAATGTTTTAATTAACAGCTAACGCTTCAAATTAGTTTGTTGTTGCCACAGTAATTACCTGTTCCAAAGAGCGAAGGGAGGAAGCACTTGTATGAGGCATTTCTGAGTGCTTCTCCCTGCCTGCTCCACCTGCCTTTTGGGACTAGTCCCCCTGGAAAACTGAACACACAATACAGACACCTGGGGATGGCACAAGATGGAATAGTCTGGTGTAAATGTTTGAATAGAGAAGCCTGTGAGGGATTTTTTTCTTAATTAAATCATTTGAAGTGGGAATATCCACTTTTAATCCAGATCTTTTGAGGTGGGAAGATTCACTTTGACGTAGGCCACACCTTCTGCTGGCAGCCTATATAAAGGGCACGCAAGAAGGAAGCTTCTCTCTTTGCCTGCTTGCTCTTGCTGGTAAGTCTATTCCTTCACTGGCATTAGAGCCTCTTCAGGATTCCGGCATGTACTGAAGACCAGCTGAGACATCCAGCCTTTGGACTGCACAACTGCTGGATTGTGGGACCTTCCACTAGTAGACAGCCACTGTTGGACTGGCTGGACCACAGCCTGTCAGTCATTCTAATAAACCATACACACACACACACACACACACACACACACACACACACACACACACACACACACACTGTAAAAACAATAAATTCATTACATCCGTTCTGTTCCTCTAGAGAACACTGACAAACACATTGGGTTTTGTTGGTTGGTTGGTTTGTGACTCTGGGTTCAAGCCCAGGCCCCCAAACATGCTAAGCAAGCACTCCCCCATTGTGCAACACTCTCAGCCCTCCTATTTTCTGTCTTTGTCAGGAACAATTCAGGTGTGGGAACAATGATGTTGGTGTCAACATTTAATGTCAGACCAGAGTTTCCTGAACTAGCAGGGAGTGCAGAAAACTGTCCAAGCCAATCCTTCCTTCTTTACCAGAAACACCCAAAAGCCAGATTGAGCAACAGCCAAGCTCAGGAAAACCCAAGAGTGTAAACTGCAAAAGACATGCCAAGGGTAGGACTGGGCATGTGTGCCAAGGGTAGGACTGAGCATGTGGAGTGGTTCTTGCTGTTCTAACCAGACTTGAGATCTGTGTTGACCATGTCTATCTCACTCAACTCACCACAACTGTAAAGCAGAAACACCACTTGACAGAAACTTCTGCTAGGTAAGAAAGGATGTCTCAGTCTCTTGGGGTTAACAAGAAAACATAAGCTACCCTAGAAAGCACCCATGTAGTTTCCTTTAATAAATATTTGTATGGCTGCGCAAGCTGCTCCAACATTCAGGAGGCTGGTAGATCAGGAGTTTATAACCAACCTGGGCTACACAGTGAGTTTTAGGTTAATCTGTACTATGAGACCTGGTTTCAAAAAAAAGTATACATATGCATATATATCCATATGCATGGAATATATGCATCCATATGCATGAAAATATGTATACATTTGTGTGTGAATATAACTATGCATTTATAGATATGTATACATATGCATACATATATATTATACATACGCATACATATGTATATACATATATGCAATATCAATGTGTATTTATATAATGGTCCCCACTGCACTTCAGAAGATGTCCCTGCACTGTGTGCCACACTGGGCATACATATGATGGTACTCTCATATCATCATCTTTCTATTCTTATGTTTAGCACAAATGCTTGCCCATAGTAGATGCTCTATGCTTAATGGGGGGAAATCCTGTCATTTGAATGCAGTTTTACAAATTCCACATGCATTTAATTCCATAATCTGACAGGTAGGTGCTATCATCATCATTGTCATCATTGTCATCATCATCATCAATCATCACCATCACCACCACCACCACCACCACCACCACCACCACCTTTCCCGGGAAGATTTCTAACTACTGAATCCAAAGTCCTTATGAGGATTTCACAATCTGGTTATCTCATATATCTGTTTCTGCCAACTTTTCTTATCTCTAGTTATCACTCCCCTATACTAAACATGTTCCTGCCTCAGGGCCTTTGTACCTATGCCAGAAGTCAGGACCATTCTTTCTCTAATGTTTACTTGGCATTCTCTACCTGCCTTT